AAGTGTACAAAAAGTATATTATATTTAATTATAATGTAAATTTAGAAAAAATGTATCCATTTAAAGTATTATATATTTTCATATATCAAGTTTTTATAATTATTTAAACCTGTATTTGATTTGTAATCAAAGTGTTACATAGTTTTACCAAAAAAGTCTAACTATTGAAATCTTTATGAGACAAAGGGAGTATATAGATTAAAAATCTTAATACATTTTATCCAATGATTGTATTCATTTGGAGTTTATATGTTACACTATTTTAAAATATATTTTTAAAATATATTTCATACATAATTAGTTATATATCTAAAAAAATTATAAAATTTATTAATCTTTTAACAAAGAAAGCCTGATGTTGTTTTCAATAAAGCATCCATCATTTTCTCTATTATTACATATCAAAATAAAAATTTAATTTATATAAATTTTAGTACATGCACATGAATATTAGAACTAAAATTTTTCTCTCAAAAGAGATATTTTATAGTTAGAAAACATTTGGCCAACACATCATATATCTTTAGATAATTTAAAATAAATAGTATTTTATTTTTTAGATGTCAAAATTTAAAAATTTGCGAGCCCGTGCGAAGCACGGGGTTAATACTAGTAAGTAATAAATATCCAGACCATAACATATGGATCACATAATTGAATCAAATGAATATTGTTTATTCCGGTATTTATTATATACGTTTATTAACTAAACATGGAATAAGATTAATAACCCGATTAAATTTAAAATGGATATATGGACATGCACCTTTTAAATGTAATGCAGATTATAAATACGACGCACATGTGGTGTGCAATTCAGAGTATATATATGTTTTCCTCTAGTAAACCAATTTTGCCTTACATATTTCTATCCATATACTTTCTCTTGTTATCACATTTATAATATTATTATAATACTGCTTTATTCAACATGATTAAATCAACCATCGGCCTCACTTTCTTTCTTGTTTGTCTTATCTTAACTTCAGGTAAAATAATAAGTTCTCGCATGCATCTTTTTTTACTATTCCCTAAATACTCTAAGAGTAAATAAACACTAAACTTATTTTATTGCTATCTTTCTTTAGAAACGTTCTTAATTAACATATGACTTATATTTACACAAATTGCAATATGATATTATATGGAAAAATATTATATAAATATAAATAAATAAATAAATATATATATATATATATATCCTTTTTTTTAATAAAAGTTTTCTTTAATATATATATATATATAAATAGATATATATATATATATATATATATATATATATATATATATATATAATTTTCATATTTCAATATGTGAAATTTTGAAACTAGAGTAATGTGAGTATACTTAGCTTCATGTATTTTCGAACATAAAAATTTAATATAGCATTCAATTTTTAATACTATAACTAAAACCTTTTCTCATATCCGAAGCTCTTCTCCTTGACATCGTTTTTACAGAAGTATTAGTGTTAATGTTAAAAAAAATCAAATTCTCCTATCTTACTTTAAAAGTATATTATCTTAGTTGTATGATATGATAATCAATAAAAGTCAAGGACAATATTTAAAGCACGTTGGTCTTCTACTAAAAAAATCTTTTAGTCATGGTCACTTATACATTATTGCATTTTCTCTAGTGACAAATCATTATGGCCTTAACATTTTGATAGGCAATGACGAAAGTAGTGTACCCGAGCATACTACTTATGTTGTGTTCAAGGAAGTTTTTCAAAATATTTGAAACATAACAACCAGTTCTTCTTAGATTTATATACCTATTATTTCTAATGATGATTTATGTTCATGTACATTGCTTTCAAATTAGTACGTAGTATTCATTTTTTTGTAGAGATTTATTTGTTATCCCAGAATTTCACTACATTTCATATAAAGAAGAATTTTTGTTAAAAATCAAACTACTCTTAACATTTAATCAATGAAAAATATAATGACAAAATTATTACTATGCAATGCACGGGTACGATTCTAGTGTACACTTAATGAAAATGGTAGATTGAGTAAAGTTAAAATAATGATATAAAATGGTGACAATTAGGGTGTCATGGATGGGGTCAAGCTAAAGAAGTAGAGAGAGTTGGTGATGGCGCAATAACACCAACAAAAAGTCAAATCAACAATAAAGTCGATATACCGCCTCGCACAAGTGCTTCACTATATGGATCTGATTGTAGAGTGGCTTTTGACGATCCTAATAGCTGTTATAACAATCATCAATCTTGTGAAAAGGAAAGCGATTGTACGTGTTGCTGTGATCACTATGAAACTACCCAACAGTGTTCAAATTCTAAATGCATTTGTATGTTTGAATAATGAATGCAAATGTCATTGTAAGTCCTAAATTAATTGAGTGAATATCAAATAAATGTTGGTGATTTTAGTGTCATTGATTTATTTTGTGTGATTGGATTTACTTAGATCGGACAAGAATTTAAATAGACATTGTCAAACGAGTTAGGAGGCGCAGAGTGCGCGCTCGTTCAACAATATTATAAATTCACAGCGGGGGTCCAAAGGAGGCAGCCCCCATGGTAGCGGGGGTCCGGGGGCGGCACCCGGGAAGCGGGGTCCAAGGGGTGGCATCCCCTGGCGGGGTCCAAGGACTCAAACGAATGGATAACGTCAAAATTTACTCCAAAAACCGAAGGATCTTCTCGCGCCTTTCTTCTTCTTCGCGCAAACGTACGTGTATGTCTATGCGAATGTTCATGACCGATAATGAATTTTGACTATAAAATAGAGTCTCGTGGTATGGATTGACGTACGGATTTTCGAGTGCTTGTTGTTGATTAACGTTTTATCCGATTGAAGTATTTCATATACCCCAAAATAACTTTGATCTGAAAGCGTTTCGTACGGGATACGTTATACTATCGAGTTCTTCTTTAGCACTACTTCGCAGTGCTCTTCCTTATATAAATCCTACAATAAACATCGACAAAAATTGTAACACCCCAACACGCATAACCCGAATACTCGGATCAACGAACTGGGTTGGTACTAATTTGGTATCCAAACACCATTTAATTTCCAAAACAATCTAAAACATTTAAATCAAACAACACTTAAATATCCATCGGAGTAAATCAAAATGGTTGCGGAAGCTTAATTCTTAATTTAAAACACAACTTGGGAATCATGCCCGAAATAGTAATAAGTTATTTAAATAGTAATAATAGTTCAAAGTCGTCGAACACCGCCACGCACATCTCAGCCTCCTCATCGCCCTCCGGGATTGGCTCCAAGCTCATCATATCATGGGTTACCTATGTGCAGCAAGTAGGAAAAAGGGCTACACGCTCAGCATTGAAGCTAAGTGAGAAATATCTAACATACAACTATACCCAAAGATGATCCCACTAGCCAATATCCTCATACTATATCATGCACACAACATTCTCATAGATCAACCGTAACGATTCTATGAATGTAAGATTCAAACCTACAAATATAACCATACGTTAGATGATCACGTACTCACCTCGAATTCGATTATTAAAAGCTACGAGATAGTAGCCATGAACGACGGCGTCGAATTTTTCCTCTTCCTTCTTCTTTTTCTTCTCCTTCCTGTGTTCGTCCTTCTGCTCTGCTCCGTTCAGCGAGGGTGAGACACGAGAGAGAGACAAGAGAGAGTGGGGAGGGAGTTACGTAAATATGGTGGCGTAAGGGTTTTGGGATGTGTAGGGAGTATACTTATACTTTTGGGGTTTTGGGCTCCGTATTAACTGAACGTACCTAGCCCAAACACACTTTCCGGGCCCACTGGCTCCAAATCCAAATCTGATTTCACCATTAGATTCCATATGTCGAACCCTACACAATGGTATAATCTTTATTGTCAAACGAAGAATATTTATAATTTTCACCGTGTCCGCATCAATAATTAATTAATTATTTCTTATTAATTAATTCATATAGGCCGGGTTTCGGGGCGTTACATTTCTCTCCCCCTTAGAAGAATTTCGTCCTCGAAATTTACCCGAGTCTTTGGTCACTCAAGAGTTAAGGATACTGAGCTCTCATGGACTCCTTGGTCTCCTAGGTTGCCTCTTCCACAACATGGTTCCGCCAAAGCACCTTGACCAAGGGGACTGTCTTATTCTTCAGCTCCTTCACCTCACGTGCCAAGATTTGTAAAGATTTGATTACCCCCCAGGTAGAACATGTGATGGATTTGATTGATATCTGTTAGAATAAGTGACCAACGCTAGATGGGAGTGAATAGCGTTTGATCGTAGAAATCGCAGGAATAAAAAAAATTAAGAACATGAAAAGTAAAGAGCGTAACAAACGTGTGGCTAACCCAGTCTCCCGAGAGACTCTCTCGAGCTACACTACTTTTGTTAAGCTTTTGGGTGCTTAACAAACCGTTACAACCTGAGAACTCGAGTCCCACGAGCCTCAACAACACTTGCTTGGAGATACCGCACTCCAAGACTTCAACCCGAAGGAATATGCCCTTCCTTCGTACAACCAAGGGAAACAAGCTTCCCTTAACGTGTATACAACGCTAAACACTCAAGAACGAATACTCTCTTTTAGAGTGGATATTGAGTAAAATATATACGATCAAGAACAACTCAAACTTCACACAATTTGGCTCTAAAAAGCTATGAAAAAGATGTTGTATGAATGCAATGATAAGATATGTTATGTGAAGTGAATTGATTATGTAATGCAGACCCAAACACCCCTTTTTATAGTGCCAAAATAGGCTCCAACAGATCAAGGCATTAAAGGAGTGATTAGCATGATTTATGAGAATGATATTAAAAAGTGGATGTGTAGGATATTGGCTTTCCAAGCGATGTATGGACTTACCCATCGCTGGTAACCAATTTTCCTTCAGTTTTGAAGCCAACGGTCACCTACCAATTGATGGGTAAACAATTCCCATCGCTGGGTGGGAGGTTGACTTTCAAACAAAGAAAGAATCAGCCTTAAATGCCTTACAATGGTCATGCCTAACCAGCGATGGGTATGCCCTCCCATGGCTTGGTTCCCATCGATGGGTAAAGGTTCCCATCGCTGGGAAAAGACATTCTGCCTTGTGATTATATTGAATCAAGGCTTGAACAGCAATGAGTAGAACTTCCTATCGTTGTTTGACATGGTTCTGGAGTCCAGCTGAGCTAAAGGCTGCTTACCCATCGATGGGTAATATCTCCCATCGCTGGGTGGCATGATTTTAGAATCCGGGATCACTTACCCATGGATGGGTAATATCTCCCATCGCTGGGTGATATGGTTTTGGAATTCCGGGAACACTTACCCATGAATGGGTGAAATCTCCCATCGCTGGGTGGCATGGCTAGTCCAGAACCATGGCCTAGCTGACCGGCGCTAAAACCCGACCGAAAAATGCGAAGTTCTCCAAAGTAAGAAGTAAGTGTTAAGAACACTTATTTAATGTATTTTATGTAGAAACCAAGTATAAAAACTTAAAAACCACTTCATTAATATAAAAACCACAACTAGCCAAGTTTATGTCGTTTCACATGATTTTTGCCAAACGACCAAAAACGAGAGGTGGTTTTTGAAGTGTTTTTGTTGGAAAACTATTTAAAAACCAATCATAAAATGTTGAAAACTACTTGGTTGGTTCAAATACCAAAAACCAACGCCGATAACTGAATGCCAAGCGCCGGTTTCTAAAAGCCGAATGCCGGTTCTGAAAGCCGAACGCCGGATGGGTTGGTTTTTGGTTTGGGCGAACACCAAGAATTTTTAAAGTGTTAAACATGTCTGAAAATCATTTGATGATATGTGAAATGCAATGAGAAATGTTTTAGGCTAAAGAGCCAAAGTGCAAAGTGTAGGTTGGTCTTGATCACATTGTGACCGACTCAACGACACTAAAGACTATGGTCTTCATTCTTGGTCTCTTTTAGCTCTTGTTCTCTTTCTTCTCAACTTTGGTTCTCGCCTTGTATATTCGAGACTTTGTCTGGTTCACGGCGGTTTGGCATTATCAAAATCTGTCATGAAAACAAACATGGCTTTAGTACGAAAACGTGAAAAACCCGTGTTTCAACAATATCTTCTTAGCATAGACACATGCAACACATCTTGAATCTTTTGTAACTCTGGAGGTAACTCTAGTCGATAAGCCCCCGGTCCCACTCGCTCAATGACCCCATATGGTCCAATGAACCTAGGACTTAGCTTTCTTTTCTTGCCAGACCTCAACACCTTCTTCCACGGTGAAACCTTGAGAAATACCCAATCATCCACATTATATTCATTTTTTCTATGCTTGAGATCAGCGTAGGACTTCTAACGATACAACTCAAACTTCACACAAATTAGCTCTAGAAAGCTATAGAAAATGATGTTGTTTGAATGCAATGATAATATGAATAACGTGAAGTGAATTGGTGAGTAAAGCAGACCGAAACACCCCTTTTTATAGTGCCAAAATAGGCTCCAACGGATCAAGGCATTAAAGGGGTGATTGGGATGATTTGTTGGATTGGTATTAAAATGTGGATCAGTAGAATATTGGCTTTCCCAGTGATGTATAGACTTACCCATCGCTGGTAAGCCAATTTTCCATCGGTTTTGAAGCCAACGGTCACCTACCCATCAATGGGTAAATGCTTCCCATCGCTGGGTGGGAGGTTGACTTTCAAACAAGGAAAGAATCAACCTTAAATGACTTACAACGGTCATGCCTAACCAGCGATGTGTATGCCCTCCCATTGCTGGGTTCCCATCGATGGGTAAAGGTTCCCATCGCTGGGTAAGGGCATTCTACCTTGTGATTATTTTGGACCAAGGCTTGCACAACGATGGGTAGAACTTCCTATCGCTGTTTGGCTTGGTTCTGGAATTTAGTTAGGCTGAAGGTCTGCTTACCCATCGATGGGTAATGCTTCCTATCGCTGGGTTGATGGTTAGTCAAAAACCAATGGTTTTTGTCTGAACCATGGCCTAGCCAACCGATGCTAAAAACGACAAAAAAAAACCAAAGTTCTCCAAAATAAAAACCAAGTGTTTAAAACACCTATTGATGTATTTGGCTAATAAAACAAGTGAGACACTTTAAAAATCACGCCATTTGAGTAAAAACCACGGCTAGCCAAGTTTATGCCATTTTGCGTGCTTTTTGCCAAACGACCAAAAACGAAAGATGGTTTTTCAAGTGTTTTTGTTGGAGAACCATTTAAACATGCCTAGATTTAAAAACAGAATTAAAAACCAATCATAAAATGTTGAAAACCACTTGGTTGGTTTGGACGCCAAAAACCAACGCCGATATTCGAATGTCGAACGCCGGTTTCTAAGAAGTGAATGCTAGTTTCTGAAAGCCGAATGCTGGGCGGCTTCGTTTTTGGTTTGAGCGAACACCAAGTGTTTTTAGTGTGTCAAACATGTTTGAAAAACCTTTTTATGATATGTAAAATAATATAAAAATATTTTAGACTAAAGAGCCGAGGTGTGAGGCTTAGGTCGGTCTTCATCACATTTGCGACCGACTCAACGACACTAAACCAACGGTCTTCGTTCATTGTCTTCTTTTAGCTCTTGTTCTTATCTTCGTTTCTCGCCTTGTATATTCAACTATTGTCTTGTTCACGGCGGTTTGGCATTATCAAAACCTGTCATAAAAACGAACACGGCTTTAGTACATAAACGTGATAAACCCGTGTTTCAACAATTTCCCCCTTTTTGATAATGGTAAACAAGACGGGGTTATGCATAGGAGGATTGTTTTGAGATTTTAAAAAGTGTTCCCCCATAATAAATTCAATTTTATTCTCAACAAGGTTTATGTTTTTATATTTCAAACGATTTTATGACTTAGAAAAGTTCCCCCTCAAACTATGCATAACCTTTTTATATCTTCTCCCTTTTGGCATTAACAAAAAGAATTAAAAGTAAACTTTTATTCATTAAAAGGGGAAATGCAGTATAAAACGGATAGAAAAAACTACAATCATATTAAAAGGAAAATTTAGAGAATTCTAGGAGTCGGCGTCTTCGTCGTTGGTGTCATCCTCGACGTCCATGGGATCACCGTCGACTGCATCTTCAAAATCTTCCTCGTCGGGAGAGGAGAACGGAGCATAGGAGTCGTCTTGGTGCTCGGTACTGCGCTGTCTCGGTTTCTGGACTTCTTCCAGGAGGTGTTTTCGGCGATGACCCAAAGCTTCGTCATCTTGGTGCTCGGTCTGGCGTTGTGAATGTCGGAGGACACGATGAGGTCCATGACGAGGAAGACGTACGACAAGCTTGGCTCGGTGGTGAGGGAGGCGCAATCCGCCATGTGAACCATGACGAACTTTGCCTAATTGATGGAGGCACCGTGGATGATTTCATGAATCGCCTTCAAATCCTCGTTGAAGAGCAAGGTGTGACTGCCGTCGCGAGGGCGGAGAATCCGGGTGAGGATGTAGAGAAGAAGGCGCTTCTCCGGCGAGGCCGAGTGGATTGTCGGTGCGCCGCTGTGGCGGATGAGGTTGGTGATCCCAAGCTCTCGAATGACGACCGCCTCGTTGTTGAGGGTCCAATCGTTGCCTCCGTACGTCGCGATGGCGTCTCCTCGGATGGGCAGTCCTGCGATCCGTGCAAAAGTCGGAAAATCAATCTCTATGTCGTAGAGATTGATGTTGCTGTAAATGGTGTCGCCATCGCGGCGGAGATTGGAGTAGAATGCCCGGACAAAGGCGGGATTGTAGGACGTGCGACTCTTGGAGACGAAGGGCCACAAACCCGACGTTTGGAGTTGGTTGTCGAGCTCGTGATACCCCTTTTGTTGGGGGAACAATTCTGGGAGCACTCAGGGCGGAGAGATTGGGTGTTTGGCGAAGTGCGTGAGGAACCGGTTGAGTTCCTCTTCCGACCTGAACTCGAGAAAGGATCTGTCAAGGTATAGAAAGGGTTGACGAGTGTTTAGAGGAAAATTCTGATGAAGTTGGAAGAGTGGGCTTAAGAGAATTAAATTATGATGTAAATTGTGATTAGAAATGACCAAGAGTGATGAATACATATAGGGAGAGAGGAGAAAACCGAGTGAATTAAAAAAAAGCTGTTGGGCATTGAATGTGGTGCCCATCGGCTATAATTTTTTGAACTGCAATAACCTTCCCAGGGATGGCAGGATCCCATCGATGGGAAGATGGCCACTAGAAAGCGAGGAAGAAGTCAAGGCTGCCTTCCCAGCGATGTGTGGATTCTCCCATCGATGGGAACATGGCTACTGGAAAGTGCAGAAACAACGAGGTTTTCCTTCCCAGCGATGTTAATACCATCCCATCGCTAGGTAGGGAAGTTTTAGAAATCTGTTAAAAATTTTAAAAAATAGTGTCAAACACCCAGCGATGGGAGGATGTTCCCATCGATGGGTAGGGAGGTTCTGGAAAAAATTCTTAAACAAAAGTCATACACCCAACGATGGTATAATGTTACCATCGATGGGTAGTGAAATTCTAGAAATCCGTTAAAATGTTTTAAAAAAAATAGAGTCAAGTTCCCAACGATGGGAGAAAGTTCCCATCGATGGGTAGAGGGGTTCTGGAAATAAGAGACTTCCCTCCCAGCGATGGTATAACCCATCCATCGCTGGTTCCCCCTGACTTCCTGATTTCCTCACTTCGAACCGTCCCTGCAAAAAAGAGTTAGAAAACCCTCCGACGCTCAAGTTAGTGAACGTTCAAACAGAGATAAAGGAATAATAAAACGCACAAATTAGATCATTGAGGAGTCAACAATTCCGTGTTCACTTCGAATGCAGAAGAACGACTCTTTCTCTAAAGGTTTTGTAAAAATGTCGGCTAATTGGTTGTGTGTTTCAACAAACTCAATTTCAACATCACCTTTGAGAACACGATCTCTAATGAAATGATGCCTAATGTCAATGTGTTTCGTTCTTGAGTGAAGAACAGGGTTCTTCGTCAAGCTTATGGCGCTAGTATTATCACAATGAAGTGGAACGTGATTGATACTAAGGTCATAGTCCACGAGTTGTTGCTTCATCCAAAGGATTTGAGCGCAACAACTATTGGCAGAAACGTATTCGGCTTTGGTTATGGATAACACAACACTGACTTGTTTCTTGCTAAACCATGAAACTAAAGAACTACCAAGTAAGTGGCAAGTCCCAGTCGTACTTTTACGGTCCAACTTGCAACTGGCAAAGTCCGAGTCAGAATAGCCAACGAGATGACAAGAAGAGCCTTTTGGATACCATAGTCCAACGTTAACCATGCCAACAAGGTATTTCATAATCCATTTCACCACCATTAAGTGTGATTCCTTTGGACACGATTGATACCTTGCGCAAAGGCATACGCTAAACATGATATCAGGCCTACTAGCGGTAAGATAAAGAAGGGATCCGATCATACCTCGATACTTTTTGACCTCTACTTCCTTACCTTTCTCGTCTTTGTCAAGATGGTCGGATGTGCTCATCGGGGTCGCCATGGCTTTGGCATTGTCCATTTCGAACCATTTTTAGGAGTTCTTTGCAGTACTTTGTTTGGCAAATGAATGTGTCATCTCTCATTTGCTTCACTTGAAGTCCCAAAAAGAACGTGAGCTCGCCCATCATTGACATTTCGAACTCGCTAGTCATTAACTTGGAAGATTCCTTGCATAAAGACTCGTTAGTAGCACCGAATATAATATCGTCTACATAAACTTTAACCAAAAGGATGTTATAGTTTTTACTCTTGATAAAAAGTGTAGTGTCAACCTTTCCCCTTTAGAAACCACTATCCAAAAGAAATTTACTCAAACGTTCGTACCAAGCACGTGGTGCTTGTTTAAGACCGTAGAGTGCTTTCTTGAGTTTGAAGACGTGATCGGGGAACTCAAAGTCTTCAAACCCAGGGGGGCTGGTCAACATACACTTCCTCTTGAATAAAACCATTGAGGAAGGAACTCTTAACATCCATTTGATAGAGTTTAAAATCCATAGACGAGGCAAAAGCAAGCAGTAAACGTATAGCTTCTAAACGTGCTACGGGTGCATAAGTTTCTTCAAAATCAATGCCTTCTTCTTGATTGTAGCCTTTAGCTACGAGCCTAGATTTGCCACCTCTCTTTCTTAGATGCCTACGCAAATGAGGAATCTGTCTCATCTTCCTCCTTGACCGGTTACTATTCTTCCGATTTTGAGTCTAGACCGGCTCATCAAACTCATGTTCCTGATCCTAAACCGATCAATTGAGTACGAGGTCAGGTGTTTGAGAAAAGGGAGGAGTTGGAAACCAGGAACTGGGTCCCTATGATCCGGACAACGAGTCCTAGGTAGAGTGGGAGAAAAGGCTTAAACAAGGTCCCTTACCACTTTTTACATTCTAGATATCACCCCTCATGATTCCAAATTGGCTCTGAACAAAGCCCGTAGGAATCTCCGAAGGGTTATGTCCTTCAGTACGATGAAAATTGGCTCAACATTGTTGAGCCCCACCGGGATAATAGTTTAGGTTTCCAAATCACCTCTTTGGAGAGTGACATAGCTTTTCCGCTTCGCCCCCTCGTAGTTGAAGTCTATTATGCCTTTCAGATTCTTCCCGAGCAGATTACTCCCAATGCCCATCGTCTCTTAAATTCTTTTGTAAATATTGTTTGCATCTTTGCATCGATACTATACTTCATCTTTTCTTCTTCTTATTCAAAGTCCTCCCAAGGTGACCCTGTTGTGATGGGTTTATATATTTTAAGGGTTTCCCTGGTCGTAAGTTTATTTTTGACCTCCCCTAAAGCAACCGGGGGTGGAATGGTTTCCCCATCTTACTCTCCCCTGGCCGGTCTGAGGTGGAACGATCACCTCCTAAATCACGAGTTCACCGAACCAGCAACCACTCCTGACTTGGAGGAGAGTCTGGAGAAACTGCTCTGCGGTGATCCCTACACCGGGATGAAATATCACTATAGGAGCTGGGTCTGGTGGATCAATCGGGGTGGCGAGGGTACCTCGCAGGCCCATAAAGTAGAGGGGCGCGGTGTATCGTTCCCGAGAAACACTACAGAGGTTGAGGGCCATTGTCACTCAGGTTTGTCTTGTGACATTCATTCTTTTATTACCGGTACAAGCATTTATACTTTTCTTATTTTCTTCTTCATCTTTTTTAGACACGGAGTTCAAAGAGTTCAATGTCCCCGTGGGTGAGGACGTTGGAGCAGCCGGTAGCTCCCAGGCTGCAACTTCCTCCAAGAATATCCTGGTTAGACATGAGACCGTGGAAATTCTTGATGAGGAGGAACCCCAAAACACTCGAACATAGGGGAAAATCCCTTCCCCAAAGGCCAAGGAGAAGACCCGGCAGTGGGTGAAGAAGGTTGCCATGACCTACCCCTCCGCCACTGCAAAAAGGCAGAGGGTGGATTCTGAGACGACACACTAGTCTATCGAAGAAGCTTTCATCAATCTCAGCTTGAGGTTAAGGGAGTAAGTCATATTCCTTTTTCGAGTTGTTTTGTTTTATCTTTTTTAAAGATTATTGTTGGGAAAAATTATAGATTATATAAGGCCAAACGGATGTTTGACTCAAATGTAAACAATAAGGATTGTGAAATAAAAGTGGAAGAACAGTTAGATTATGAAGAATATGTTTAGGCTTGAGGAAATACCAATGAATATTGTAATAACATCACTAGATACGTATATGTGTATAAATTTGACTTGTGAATGAACAAGTTGGAAAACATCTAGACCGCATTTAGACGATTACATGAACACGTAAATCCATGCCCAAATATATGTGTTGTACATGTATGAACGAATGTGTATTTGTTGCTTTATATGCTCTACTACTTGGCATAACCTTCGTTGAAACCGTATGATTGTAGTTTTCTTGATATAAAGTTATATGATATGAAACTCGTTGAAAAAGAAATCATATAGAAATCCATTTGGAATCTAGAGGAACTCAATATTTATATATATTTGTAAATCTTACTTGTTCATTATAATTTTCAAAAGATTGAACGCAATTCGACAGACCAAAGTAGAACCCGAGTACTGTGATAGTAGGCTTTCAAATTCTGATAATCTACTATCAGGTGCTGCTGAACTCTGACAATCGATTATCACAAAGTGACAATCGATTATCAGAGGCTGCGGAACATTTGATAGTCGATTATCACTTGGTGATGATCGATTATCAGAGGCTACAGAAGTTTGATAATTGATTATCAACAAGTGATAATCGATTATCAGGGGCTGCTGAACTTTTAGAATAATCCAAAATCAAAGTGCTTTCAAGGTGTAACTAAATAAATAAAAAAACTTAAAAATATAATTTATATAACAAAGAACTTATAATATAACTTATAAACATAAAACACAAACTTAAGATATACTAAAAAAAGTATAAAAACTTATATTTATAACTTATAAACAAACACTTATATATAAACTTAATAAAAAAATTATATCCTATCTTATATCCTATATCCTATCCTATATATCCTATACTATATATCCTATCCTTCCTATATATATGTAAAGTTGGGTTTATCTCTTGGAGTGTTGACATGTGGCATGCCACCTGTGCATTGAGATGGATGAATTTGCATGCCACATGTGCATCCACATGAGCATTGAGATGGATGAATTTAATTGGTCCATTTAATTTTTTAAAAAAATATTTAAACACATTTTATTTTATTACATTAAATAAATATTCTATTTTAGTACTAAAAAACATTATTTAATTATACTTTGTATAAAAAATGTCATTTTTTAACAATTTTATAAAAATATATTTCATCATTGTAAAATATACTCTGTACTCCGTATTTTATATTTATATATAGACACACACACACACACATATTGTCACACATATATTCTCTAATTATGTATCATTATTTAATAAGACCATTTTTTATTATAATGTTTTATTAATTAAAACTATTTTCATTAGTACTTCATTCAATAATGGCCATTAGTTTTGTATAAAATTTTTGTTTTTAAATAACCATACCAATATACATTCCACAGTTTAAAACATATTTTGTTTTCCTAATCAAATTATATCTATTTTAACTTTACCTCGATGTTTTGAAAAAATAAGTTTCATATGATTTTTAAAAACAATAAAGCGTTTCTTTTTTACTACCTTTTAAAAAAATACTTATAGAATCTTTAGTGCATGTACATCTATATTTAAAGTATAATATTTGAAAAAAGATACTCCCTCCGTCCTGGAAAATATGGGAGTTTTGATTTTGAAGAGGGATTTAGGGGGAGTGTATTTTGGTATTGAATTTCCAAAAATGTCCTTTGATGTGATGGTAAAAGTATGATTTGATGGATAGATTATTAGTAAAAAGGTATGATGTGATAGGTAGGGTATGAAAAAAGAAGGGATAAAAGTAACTTTTTAACAGAAATGAGAAGTGTTTTTTGGGACGGATGAAAAAAGAAAGGAGAAATGTTTTCAGGGACAGAGGGAGTATATCTTAGAGTTAAAAACATTTCATCTAACACATATTATGTCACTATTAGAAAACTAAATTAAATAAAATTATATTTATAGAATGTCAAAAATTAAGAATATATACGAGCCCGTGCGAAGCACGGGGTTAACACTAGTTATAACTTAAAACACAATGGGGGGTTGGATGAAAAGTAAACATTATTTAGTTTTTTATTTTTATTATTTTTTTTTGGTTTTTTTTTTGATAAAATGGGGAAAACAAGCTGTAAAAATAATCAACTTCTCCAACAAGTCAAACATTACACGTATAATAGACACGTAGACAATATATATTACATAACTTACACACTTAAGAATTGAAAAAATCAATCAAAGGCCAAGTCGATTCATTTGCTTAATCACGATATGGAGGATTGTCAACTCTCCACACAGTCCAGAGTCATGCAATTCAAAGGCCCATTTTGAAATATACCTTAGAACCCCAATTAACCAATCAAGCATGATAACATACTTCCATTATAGAAAAAGTTTATAGAAGAACAAAATTTTTTTCATTCAACTCTGATACATAATCTATTCACAAACCGCCAATACCTCATGCGTTTTAATAAACCTTTTCTCCTAATGAAGAGCACATTTCACAGATTTCCATTAACTTCTCAAACCAATGACGTTTTTTCTATTCACATAGATCAACACAACATATTTTCAATAAATTGAGAATTGTTTTTGAGCTTAAACAACCTTAAATTTATGAAAATAACAAACACATGAAAACATAACAAAATCATTCCATAACGAATTCTAAGAAAAATGAATCAACTTATGGGGCTAAAAAAGTCCAAATTCCTTAAATTCAACGAACACAAGCACAACAAAGAAACACGTATGAATTCGGAGTTCATTTAACTACCTTATGGAGCTAAGATAGATTAAACAAAAATCAAATTCCACATATCAACCTACTTATGAAATTAAATTATACAATTCAATCAATTCAACAACAACTTGCTCAATAATTGAAGAAAAACTAGTTTGAATCAATTCTCATTCATAAGGGATTATATATAAACATTAAAAAAACCCAAAAAATACACCAACCATATTTTGGAATTTTTGAAACAAACACAACAAGGAAAAAAATGTGAAAATTGAGCAAAGAGCAAACTATTACATAGAATTGGAGGAAAAAAATAAAAATTGACAAATATAGGGTTACCAATTAGAAGAAGAAGATGAAATTGAAGAATTATGAGAAAGTGGTGTTTTTTGAGTAGGTTTTCTTTTATGAAAAAGAAACCTCACTACGTCAAAAACAGATGCCGACAATTGTTTCTTTTAGTAGTCTCTCAGTGCTGATTTTAGTAGTCTTCCGAGCAGCTGTCTGATATATTTACAGACTATTGTTTAAAAACAATTGTGTAAAATGGTTGATGACACCTGTTTTGTAATGTTTTAGAGTACCACTTTTTAGTGTTGTCCTTGTATGAGTAAGACATCTGTTTTTTAGAGTGAAAGAGAACTGTGATTTTTTGTTGTCTATCTATAATGAATACTACTGTTGTTTTTAACTTCAGAATCCTAATCCTTGGTGTTGTCGTTCAACAATATAGACATCTACTTTAAAAAGTAATTGAAAGATATATCAGACTGCTGCTCGGAAGACTACTAAACAAAAATAGCATCAGACAACTTTTACCTTTTGTTGTATTTCTAGAATATGGACTACTAACATTATTCTTATTCAAAGTACTGTTTGTTTTAGTTGTATATTGATTATTAACACAACGGTGTTTTGTAGTTTTCCGTGAAATATTCTAACTATCTTTTATGACAGTAGTTACATTGTTTATCAGACAGCTACTCTAAAGATTACTAAAGAAATTTGCTTCAGACAACTATTATTTCACATTGTATATTAAAAATATGAACTACTATTTCTGTAGTATTTCAAACAACTGTTTGTTTTAATTGTTTAAATGTTATTAACACTACGGGTTTGTGTAGTTGTACATACATTTTTCAAACTATTAGTTTGAATGGTAATTGAATTTTTTATTAGACATTGGTAATCTTGTGTTGATTACCAAATAAATATAAATTCAAAAAATACAATATATTGAACAATATACATTTAAAATATTATTAACATGTAATGATTTAATATTTACATCATCTTTCTTACAATTTACATATTTTACATGCATGCCTCTTCAATCCATCATATTCCTATGATACAGGTTGTTGCTCCTATAGAGGAATAAGTGAGGAACCCAATCCTTGAGAATTTTTGTAGATTGAACTTGAATCTTTCACATGTCAGCACAAACCCAATAATGGAAGAGAAACATAGCAGAAGGTAGCACACGCCAAGCCCAAGACAGTCCTCAACAGAACAAAAACAATACCAAAGAACATGAACACGAGACAAATAATATCAAGATGGTGTAAATAAACCACCGGGTAAACAGTTTTAGATCGGAACTAGGATTGTTTACTAGATTTGATAAAGTAAAAAGTTGTAAACATAAAGGTTAACCAGGAGGACTGTAGGTAGAAACACCTGAAACCCTATTGTTATTAGAATATAGTAAAGAATTATATGAATCAATGATACAAAGAATTCTAAGCCTTAAAATTGTTGTTAAAACTATGAATCAATGATACCAAAATGATCTATAAACCTTGCAGAACAGTTCTATTGGCACAACTAAATTTACTCAATATATATAATAATAGACTCACGAAAATATAATAATAATTTTGATCACATGAATCATCTTCCAAATAAATTATACATTAATATTCTTATTTGGACTGTGCAATTGATTTGTTTAACGCCACATTAGTATTAATATATATTTAAAAAAAATTATTTTGAGTTTTAATACTCAGTAATTTGTATTACATGAATGGCATTATTCTTTTTAGATTATCTGTGTTTTTTTATAAAAAAATGGATAATTTTTCATCCAAGTTATTTTCATACGTATAACATTACTAATAAATTTAAACTTATTATATTGTAGTCTATTCCATGGCCAACATACATCACGAAAAGAGAATTTGACATCCTTGATTTATCCGGTCAAAGGTACCTGGAATGGAGGGTTGATGCAATAGCTCACCTCAAGGCTAATGGCCTAGAAAACACAATTGCTGAAAATAATACATCATCTTCTCAGCAAAAGGCAAAAGCCATAATTTTCCTTCGCCACCACCTTCATGAAAGTTTAAAATCTGAATATCTGATGGTGGAAGATCCAAAGGAATTATGGGATAATCTCCAAGAGAGATATGGTCATCAACAAAAGGTCTTATTGCCAAGAGCTCAGTATGAATGGATCAATTTAAGATTCCAGGATTTTAAATCCATTTGTGACAATAATTCTGCTATTTTTAAAGTCACATCCACATTAAAATTGTGTGGACATAATATCACCGATCATGACATGTTGGAGAAAACTTTTTCTACCATGCATATGTCAAATGTGATATTACAGCAACAATACAAAGAAAGGGGCTTTAAAAAGTATTCTGAGTTAATCTCAGTATTACTTGTTGCTGAGCAGAATAATGAGCTCTTAATGAAAAATCACAACATGAGGCCCACCGGTTGTAGCCCTACAAATTTTGGCAATCGTGATCGTGGTTCAGCACCTGAATCAAACGTTATCCAAGTTGGTGCATGCGGACACTTTAAATGTGGACGCGGAAATAACCGCAACAAAGGGCCAAATAGAGGATATAAACATCCAACTGAATCATCCTCCAAAGGAAAGGGAAAATTCAAACCACCACAGGCTAAAACTCTTGAAAAGCCAAAACCTAGTGGTGAATGCTACAAATGTGGTATAAAAGGACATTGGGCTAATGAATGTCGAACGGAAAAACACTTGGTAAAATTATACCAAGCTTCCACAAAAGGAAAAGAAAAAAAGTGGAGGCTAATTATGCTGATGATATCAATCCAATTTTGCCTAAATTTGACGTGTCTGATTTCTACATAGATGATGCTGAAATTGGTGATGCAGTGGCCTTTGGTGGAACTACTACTATTTAAACATTTTCATTTACTCTGTTATGGTGTGTTTACTTTTAAAATAAATGTTTAAAATTTGTACTTTAGTTTTCATGTGTACTTGTACTATTATGTTTGTTCTAAAAATTCTAATAAAATGTATGATATTTGTGTTAATTATCTTGAACTTATATTTATTTATATATTTATTTATATTCAAGATATGGAGATAACTGCTTATGGCTCCAGTGGCAAAGAAGAATGTCTAATAGACAGTGCCACAACACACACCATTTTGAGAAACAAAGAATATTTTTCTCAAATGACATTGATGGAAACTAATGTCAATACAATCTCTAGTGTTGCAAAGCTCATTGAAGGGTCTCAGATGGCTTGTTTAATCCTTTCCCAAGGAACAAAATTAATTATCAAAGACGCGTTATATTCCAGCAAATCCCGAAGGAATTTACTGAGCTTTAAAGATATGCATCAAAATGGTTAACACATTGAAACCATGACAGAAAATAAAAAGGAATACTTGTGTCTAACGACAACCAAATCTGGCAATAAAATTCTTTGTGAAAAGATGTCAGCATATTCCTCAGGGCTATATTATACTCACATTAGTCCCGTTGAAGTGAATGTTGTCTCTAATAAAAAAATTAGATGACCAGAAAACATTCATTTTGTGGCATGCTCGTTTGGGTCATCCTGGCAGTGTAATGATGCACAAAACAGTTCAAAATTCACTTGGACATCCATTGAAAAATATAAGGATTCCAAGATCAATTGATTTTCCATGTGTTGCCTGCTCTCTTGGAAAAATGATTGTCTGGTCATCTCTAAATAAAATTGGAGTTGAATCTCCTGCATTTTTATAAAGAATTCAAGGAGATATTTGTGGGCCAATTGCCCCACCATGTGGACCATTTCGTTATTTTATGGTGTTGATCGACGCATCAACACGTTGGTCACATGTTAGTCTTTTATCTACAAGAAATTTTGCATTTGCAAAACTCCTTGCTCAAATCATACATTTGAGAGCTCAATTTCCGGATTATTCAATTAAGAAAATCCGACTTGATAATGCAGGAGAATTTACATCCCAATCATTTAATGACTATTGCATGTCTATTGGGATTGATGTGGAGCATACGGTTGCTCATGTGCACACTCAAAATGGTCTTGCTAAGTCTTTAATAAAGCGATTACAATTAATTGCTAGACCATTATTGATGAAATCCAGTTTACCTGCATCTGTTTGGGGACATGCTGTATTGCATGCTGCAAATTTAATTCGGCTAAGGCCTATTGCAAATCATATTTTTTCCCCATTACAATTGGTAACCGGAAAAGAACCAAATATTTCTCACATAAAAATATTTGGATATGCCGTATATGTACCAATTGCTCCACCACATCGTACAAAAATGGGTCCTCAAAGAAGGCTGGGAATTTAGGTTGCTTTGATTCTCCCTCAATTATAAAATATCTTGAGCCAATGACTGGTGATTTATTCATAGCTCGGTTTGCTGACTGTCATTTCGATGAGATAGTATTTCCAGCCTTAGGGGGAGAAAATGAGAAAAAGGACCCATGTACGAAATTGATTACATGGAATGCAACAGGATTATCTTTTCTTGATGCAAGAACAAATGCATGCGAACAAGAAGTCCAAAAGATAATTTATTTACAAAATGTTGCAAATCAATTGCCTGACGCATTCACAGATTCAAAGAAAGTGACAAAGTCACATATCCCTGCGATGAATGCTCCTGCCAGAATTGAAATTCCTTCAGAGAAAAATAAAAAAACTCTTGCAAATGAGTCTTTAATACGCAAAAAGCGTGGCAGGCCACTTGGTTCAAAAGATGTAAAATCAAGAAAACTTAAAAGGCAAGAGACAATGTTTGAAACAAAAGACGTTCATTCTTCAAAGAAAGAAAATGAACAAACCGAGCATGTTGATATAAAAAATAATATCAACGAACAATTTGTTTCAAATGAGGATTTAACAATCTCTGAAGATGCGAATAATTCAGATGAAGATAGAAACGTTGATAATTATGAGATCTCAATAAATTACGTTTCTACGGGATTGCAATGGAACAGAAAAGATGTTCATGTTGATGATATATTCGCATATGCCATTGCCACAAACATCATGGGTGAAAATGATGACATTGAGCCAACTTCAGTTGATGAATGTCGACGTAGACATGATTGGCCAAAATGGAAAGAAGCAATTCAGGCAGAATTGAAATCACTTGAAAAACGAAATGTTTTTGGGCCTATAGTTCCTACGCCAAAAGGCGTGAAACAAGTTGGTTTCAAATGGGTTTTTGTGCGTAAGCGCAATGAGAAAAATGAAATTGTGAGATATAAAGCCCGACTTGTTGCCCAAGGTTTTTCTCAAATCCCGGGGATAGATTATGAAGAAACTTATTCCCCAGTAGTTGATGCAACTACGTTGAGATTTTTGATAGGCATGTCTGTCTTTGAAAAACTTCAAATGCGTTTAATGGATGTAGTGACAGCATATTTATATGGATCTCTCGATACTGACATATATATGAAAGTTCCTGGAGGGCTAAAATTGCCTGAGGTTTATAGTTCAAAACCTCGAGAGATGTTTTCCATAAAATTGGAAAAGTCACTATATGGACTAAAACAA